AAAAGCCAGGAAACGCCCCCCCCCCCCCATTTATAGCTATTGCTTTATTTGTATTTTTGTTACTCAGGCTTTTAGGAAAAAGCTTTCAAAGCCATAAAAAAAGTCTAGTTTTGAATTGCCCAAACCAAACATCTATTATTTGTACACCTGGTAACTAAATCTTTACATGTTATTATATGGGGAAGATCTACCTTGGTTCCTTCTGTAGAACTGGTAAAAAAAATACCACAGAAAAATCTGGATGGCCCATAATGTGACTCTATCATCTCTAGCCACATAAGCAGAGAACCATTTCAAAGGTTACAAAATTGTGCTTACTTAAGTTTTCTCAAACCGCCAATTCTGAATGTGTAAGTGATGCATCCCAAACTCAACCACTAGGAATACAGAAGCTATGCTACACCTTTTCAGTGAATAATGATGGCAACAGTATCAGACTTCTAGAGAGCAAATTCTTCTTTTTACTTGCAGAAACCTGACATTTTACTAGAGATTAAGCTGAATCAAAATTAAAGATCCATCAATCCTACTAACTAAGATCCTCATTATTTTCACATCTACTTATCTCCGACCATATTCTAAGCACAATTATAAGCCCATCAACAAACATCAACATGTTGACATGCTTATTCCAAATCAAAATTAAGTCAAACAGAAAAAGTCACACCTATGTCTCTAAAACAGCAGCAACCAAAATTACTCTGCAACCAAACATCAGCATACATAGCATCAGACAAGCTGCTGTACCTAATTTCCCCTTTTTCTAGCATGGGTCATTACTTAGTTACATCCCATGGCCAGTATGAAAACCGCTCAGTACCAGCACAGGGCTTTGAAGGGCTATTAGTGTTTTTCAGCCTAACCATAGAAAGACAAGATGACGTAGCCTCTGTGCAGCAAGGACAATGCTCTCAAATGGAGCATTTCGCTGTTCCTTTTCAGAAACTGGCAAGAGAAATTATCATAATCAAGCTGGAATCTAACTCTAATCTCTCAAATCAGAGTGGAACCAACAACCTATATGCCAGAACTGAGATGCTCAGGACATAACAAATACTGCTAACAAATCTATCCAAGTCAGCAATTACCTTCAAACATAAAAATATCAAGTGCAGCATCTATTTAAGATAAGAGGGGCCCACTAACCTCATCCACTAGACACTTCTTATTCTAAGCTTCAGCATATGAAGCTGGAGAAGTAGATACATATGGATTACTAGACATGGAGGCAAATGAGAAAAAAGAAAGAGAGAAATTCAACACATTTATCAAAGGTAAAGTCACAATGACATAAAATTACAATGACATCTTCTCAGAAGTTACTATGTTCTAGGCACAGGAAAGCACATACTCAAAAATACCGTGCTATCCATCTGACCTCTGAAACAGAAGCTGATGCACCTAGTGCTTAGGAAGTTTCTGATCTAAGCTGGGAATTTATAAATCAGCATGGGCTAGTCATAACAAACCTTACAGACTGCACATCAAAAAAACCTCAACTTTCAATTTTAAGGACAGAAGTTTTGAAACAACATTGCAATCTGAGTAGTACACAGAAACTAAATGGAGCTTAAACAGTCTATGAAGGGAAATCATGACACGTTTGCCTCCAATAACAGAGACGAACTGAATGATCTAGGAGAAACGCCCTCTAACTTCTACCTCCAACCTTCCTCAAGAGTTACAGAGCCATGGATATGTTTCAAATAAAGGAAAGTGTAACATGGGTAGTGGAACTTGTGCTTCTCCCCATACACTTTGCCTTTATTTTCTAACTATTCCCAAAATCCTTACTTCATTTATCTTTCCATTTTCCCTCATACATCTACACCTATTTTAAGGGCTGAGGAACAAAAGGACTATCTATTCATACCGCAGAAGCAGTTTTTTCCAGGATAGTTTATAGTAAGCAAACATGCCGCACCTTCACTTGTGCGCTCCAAATGTACATCTGCCTCAAGGTATAAATCTAGAGTCACTCATCATTTTGTTTTTTTAAAAGGACAAAGGACAAGCCACCCCACTCAGATTATAAATCTCTTTCAAAAAAAAAAAAGAAGATCTAAGAATTGGGACTGGCTTAAGAGGCGAAAAGTATCCTTACTGTATAACTAAACTTTGCAAGTTATGTTATACAACTTATTTATATACTACAATGACAGGCATCTTAGAAATGCATATTAGAAAGATTACATAAGAGTACCTATGACAAGCCAGCGGATGTAGAGCAAACCCAGAGTTCACTGAACCGTAAGCGTCAACCTCAGACTGCATTCGGTATATTCACGCAGGCATTTTGTATGTGCTGGCTTCAGGAAAAGGGTGAATTCTGTTTGTGGATCTCCAAAAAAAAGCAGTTTCACCAATATTTTCCCCCTTTTACACACAGAAGAGAGTTCTCCTCAGGTTACTTCCGGAACAGTTAACAGACATGCTCTTTTATTTTAATAAAAAACCCAACCAACCAACCAAAGTGTAGTCTGTATTTTGATGCTGGCTCTAACCGCAGTTGTCCTTTGTCACTTGTCATGCTGGATTACTCAACACTCTCTAGCCAAGGCAGAACACAAATATGTTCCTAGCTGCGGCAACAAATGACGTACTTATTTACCTGCGCTTCCCTCTGCTGAGCTGTCCCACTCCAGAGTCTGCATTGGCTTCTCTCTCTTCTCACATACAAGTAATGGAAAGGGTATTCACAGATAAAGCTTTTACATGTGGGTATACAAACTGGGATGCTGAAAATTACTCCTCTCCTTAAGTTGTACCTATCTGGCCATTTGGTAGGTGTCAAGATAAAACCTGAGAAACACTGTATGCAGGATTTATACCACTGATACCAAAACCAGATCCAGAAGTTATACCTAAATATAATGTGCGCTTACAGAAATTTAACTGAAGACAGCTTGATGCTTGAACCTGTATCCTGAAAACTTAAAGAGCTGAAGCAGACTCTTTCAGACAAGTCTTACCCTATCAGATTGACCTTAAGAATACTCTGTGAACCCTACCAGTTTTTCTACTGAACGGCTTAAATGATGTAATAATAAGGTAAAAGCGTTATTAAAAACAAGACACTACACAGTCTCTTTGTAGACTTCAGCTATTACTAGTTGAAAATGTTTAACCCAACATAAACATTACATTACTGTTCTAAAATATGTCTATATATTTATTTTGTTTATGTCTACAGGCTAATATAAGATAATAAATATATTTTATGTATTATTACTTCCTCTATCCAATTCATACACACACAAAAAATCCAAAATATAAAAACTCACTAGTCTCTGAAGTAATTAATAGCTTTTATAATTTAAAATACAAATAAGTGTAAGCATTACTGCTTAAATGATCCAGTAGCCCTTAAAACCATGAAGAACAATGCAATCTTAGTTGTATATTGACTAGATACCAAAGGAAAAATATATGGGAAATCAATTTGTAAGAAGCCCAACAAAAACACAGGTCTTAAATCCCATTAATTGACTGAGACGTGAAAAATACGTAAGTTAAAACTGTATCTTATCACACAAAATTAACATTGTTAAAACAAAACATCATGGTATAAGTAATTCCTAACCTGAATACCCTTACTGTTACTAGCCTGTGAAAGAGCTGCTTACAAAGTTTTTTCATTCTCTACTGTTGACAAATACCCAGAGATTCTCAGGAACTAGAAAACAACATTTTTTTGGTCTATTCTTCAACAGAACAGCAGAAAAAGCAAGTTCTCTTTTAACCTCTTAATACATACAATGATCAGTTGAATTTTAGATCACCTGTTACAAAGATTCCTCTGATATTTCAAGTAAATTATTACATTTCACACCATTAATAACTTTTGATTGTATTATGTGCCTTGTGTAGAACCAAACGTATGTGTAACTTTGTAGAATCAGGGCTTACTTCCAACTGCTGTGTAACAACACAAGCACTGAAGATACAACAACAAAAACATCCTGCAGATTTAACAGCAGATGCTGGTTTTCATTTGTAAATAAAAAACCCCTGTACTTAAAACATGTAAAATCTACAGTCACTATATTTTGATTGTATTGATAACAATTACATGACATATGCCCTACATACTGTATGCAGCTCTAACGTCTCTGGAAGGCAAGGAGCAACTTATGGAAAACACTAAGAATGACTGAAATAAAACTTGCTACCAGTAATCTTATTTTAAAACATCCTTTCCATATGAAGTCACTTAAAAACATGTATTGTAAACCTACCTGTTCTCCAGCCACTGTCCATACTATTGTCTAATAATCAGATGACAACACTTTTAGATGTTTGTCTTCTATGGGTCTATTAAAAAAATGAATGCTAGCTTTTTGTTCCTCCTAGTAGGTTTGGGAATCTCACCTATTTAATGGCATGCTGCCCTAGCAAAATGATGAATCCTGTCTACTGCTTTTCAAATGCACCAACCTTCTCAAAAACACTGGATGGTGTCATCAAACAAAACCTGATGTTCTGAATGATGGTGTCCGTATGCCTCCAGCGTCTTCTATCATGGCGCAGCCAGGCCTGAACAGCTTCATACAGCTCTATCTCTGGAAACCTGCTCAGATGATCGTTATCCAAGTAAGACATGAGCTTCTCAAAGCTCAGATATGAAAGGAAGTCAGGTCTGGACATGAGTGGCACAAAATTCTCTAGCAGAAAGGAGTCCAGTTTTTCCCTGACTCCTTCGATGTTTACACCAAAATCATCCAGAAGTCTCATAATTTCTGCACAGTTTTCTAAGCAGATTTTAGCCAAGAGAAAAGAGCAGCAAAATTTTACCACCTCTATAAGCTGGACATACATGGCAGCCTGCAGGATTTCATGAACAGTGTTCATACTCAGTTCAATAGTTCCATAGTACATGAATTGGAGGACATGACTGAAGCCTGTAGCTGTCAGACCTTTCAAATGGATTTTGTCCTGATCTCGTTCTCGCATATCAGCTGTGAACATAATCCTGAAGTAATCACTCTGGGTGGCAAGCAGTGCTTTATGGGCCTGAAATTGGTGGTCTTCAATGACAAGTGTGACATCAAGAAGCAATCCCTCCTCATACAGTGCTCTGAATCCAGCAGAGACACTGGTGTCATGGATGGAGGAGCTAAACCCTTCCACGTCCCCAGCCATGAATCACCTGGGGGGAAGAAAAAATAAATAAATAAAAATAAAAATAAATTGTTATTTCTAATAATATATCACAAACCCTTCCTGACTAGATAAATCCTAACTGAGATTGCTTTTATTAAAAGTCTTCACCATCCTTTTTGTTTTCTCTTCAGCTGAAAAATCAGCTTAAGAAACAACTTAAAACACAAACTTCAAATATTTGTCCCCCCAAATATTCTCATTTTAAAGAAAGGGTAATAAACAAGAATAACTATGCAATACTGCCAAAGTGATTCCTCACTCCAAGCTACTTAGTGGTCAGATAATGAATATGCAACGCTAAAAAGGTTGTCATGGTTTTCTTCCTCTCCCTCCCCCCAGTCTTTCTAAAGACTTTATCTCAGGGGAGCAATAAAACACCCAGTCTTGAATATCAAAGGTTTCAGAAAGGAAGCCAAACTTTCTTAACTTCAGAAACAAGCTCCAGTAGATCTGTACAAGGTATAACCCCCCCCCAAAAAAAGTAGTCTCTTTAAAAACATATGTCAATTTACTTGAAAGTTACTTCTAGGAAACCGAACATTTTCAAGACACGCTATTTAACTTTGTGTGTCTCACTTCTCCTGTAACAACATAGTCCCTTTTTCCTCCCTTGCTTCTTACTATAGGGATTAATTAGGTCATGAGATTTATAAAGCGTAATATACTAAGGTAATAGGAAGTACTGACAAGATTAGGTCACAATAAATAATATTCTGTATACTGGGTTTAGTGAAGCTTAATGGCTTGTTAAGCATTTGAACATTTGCAGATGCATAGTGTTACTTACGTGCAAGTTATAGTCAAACTGTAAATAAGTCAAAAAGAAATTAAAAAACTAGCAGGATCCTACCTTGTAGGAAGATAAATATTCAGTAAAAATCTGTATCAAAAACTATTCAAAATCCAGGAATTTCTCAAAGTCTTGCTCAACTTCCTTGGGTTTAGGTAGAGTGAAGTTGCACAAGGCAGCTTGAACCAATCTAACAATTTATCACTAGTCAAAGGGGAAGGGCACACTCCATTCTCCCTCTCTGTCATTCTGGGGTCTGAGCTCCTGCTGCCTACTTTCAGTCATTTCTGGGGCTCACTGGACTGCTCTAGAAAGCCAGTTCAACTCATAAACCTGACAAAAAACTAAGTCAGGGGAGGAGACGACAACACGACATGACACAATCACCACCGCGCGTCCAGCACACATAAAAACTCAAAACCAGAGAGCCTCCTGCTTATCAGTGAGCTGACTTCTGACTTGGCCCTGCAGGGGGTATGGCCCAAGAACCAACCTGACACAGAGGGCAGGACATCACACGTGAGCAGGAACAGAGAAGAGTAACACCTTCCCCTTTCGGCGTTAGTCAGCTATTAGAATGGGTTCAACCATCTGTGTTTCACTTTATCCCACCTTAAATTACACTCCAACATTCACTCAGTTATTTGTGCATTTAACTCTGAATTTCCTACAACAATTAAAGTTAATAATGTTTTGGTACAGGTAACCTACACGAAAAGCTAAATAACACCAACATCAACACATTTAAAAAACTGCTTACTTTCAGCGTTATAGAATTTTACAGCAGTATACGGACCCAGAAGTGATGCTAGGTTGGCCTAGGTTTCACAACTTCAGAGAGCAGTTACTGTGTTACTCCCACTTCCTCAAGCACCACATCCTCACCGCTGCCATTTTAACAGGAATGTATTTTATTAGACTCCATCAACAGACAATTATCTCCTCTCTCTAATTCACCAGCACACATCTTCGAAAACAAAACCGGAGATACTCTTTGTCTATGCAAAACTAAAACGGTGAGTGGGTGTCCATAGCCACACCTCACGGAAGGAGCACCGCTCTCACACTGTTGAAGCCTGCCGACAGGTTCTGTGCGCACAGAGTTAATGCCGGGAGTGTTCATGAAAATAAAGGCCTTACGACAAAATTCAAATCCCTGAAGGTAAGAGCAGCAGCAAGAGAACAAAGCTGACAATCCAACAGCTTTCTCGCCAGTATCCATGATAGCACACTGCCCTCAAGGTCGCTGAACACAGAGAGAAAACTGGAGCTTCATATTGTGAGTCCCTTATTCCTGAACACAGCATATGCCTACCAGAAAGAAAAATTACCATCAAATATTTTTCTTAGCTATTGCTAATTCTTGCATAAAAGCAGACAAGGAAAAAACTACTAACTTTACCAACTCGCAGTACCTCAAAAAGGAGCAACAAACTGAAGACGGAGCATAAAGCCTGACCCCAGGATTGTGCTTTCTAATTGTATTTCTGATATCAAATAAAAGGTAAATGCTAATATTAGCTTTTTTTCTTTCACTACTGCACTTGTAACACCTCCCCCTCTGCCCCTAGTTCTCTGATGTTTAATAACAGTTGAGCCATACTTCAGTCTTTCCTGTTTAAGAGACTTAGTGGTCACTTGCCTGTAAATGGGCCACCTGTTTTCATAAAATATACAGCAACTTGAGACAACTATCTCTCAGTTTTGTTTGAAATTGGCCAAGAGGTTCAGAGGTTACTAGGATTCTCAGACAGTACAACTGTGTAAGTTACGTTCTTTAGGAGACCAACTAAGACATATGCCTCAGCCTCAATTCCAAGATCAATGGAAAAGACAGGACAGGACAGTTGGAATTTGCAGATGAGACATAAACAGAATAACACAACAATACATTAAAAAAAAAACAAACGCAGAAATGAAGCAATGTTCTCCAGGTGACTGAAGCAATATATATTATTCTGAAAATAATGGGATTTCCTATCACACAGGTTCATGCAGGTGGCAATCTCACAGAAGGGATTTTTTCAAAACAGTACATACATTAATGTGTACAGGAACAACACAGAAGAACCACACCAGTAAGCTCCAAACACATACTAGGGTCTTTCTCCTTAATAACTTGAGAAAGATAATGACATTATAGGTACTCTGCAAATAAAAGGAGAGAAATTAACTTTTACATAGGACAGCTTTAAAAGGCCTCTTTCACCACCCTCAAAGAAGCAAAAAGGAAAAGTTGGCAAGTGAAGGTAAGCAGAGACAAATGGTAAAAGGTAAATACACCAAATCCAGAGGAGGGCGTCCAGTGTTGCTTTTAAGGATCAAAACAAAAAACAAACAACCTGCATTTAGGAAACACCTTTTAGGGTTCCAATTTTCACATCTCCCTAAACTGGCTATTCTATAAAAATATATTAAAACCAGAAGTCAGTTGCAAAACTCTACAATGGTAACAAATCGGTCAACACTCTGAAATTATTATTTCAGAATGTTTTAAAAATGTGAGGGGTTTAAGTCACTTAATCATTCTTTTCACATCCCTGCTTATTTTTAGTAAATTTACAGTTTTCAATCTCAAAATATTTTTCCTCCCAAACATCAGACAGCATTTAATGGACTATTTAAGTAGACACAAAGCCAGTAAGACTTCTCAACACCATCTAAAGAAGCTTCAGAATTCTGTGAGTGAAAAGTGAAAGACTACTTGTCTTCCTCCATTAAATAAAAGGAGTAAATACCCTTTTTTTGGCATAAAGCCACACACAGTATCAGCAGACATAGTTTTCTTTACAACACAAAAATGTATTGGCTAGAACAAATACACAAGGGGGTTAAAATATCACAGAAATTGGGAAACTAGATAGTTAAATGCATATTACAATCAAATGGTAAAAACCTTCATTTCTATAGCTAATATCCTTAGTCAAAAGCAAATAGCGATGTGGTAGTTCAAATATTACAAAAGCAATACAAAATACTCTCAAATGAAGTCATTTTTCTAAAGCATAGCTATGCCATTCCTCCCACACACACACACACTTGCAATCTCAGATGTAATTCTATGCACTATTCAAATGCTGCAGCGTATTTCCCAGAGGACAATAACATAATGATTTTTTTTCATATTTTCAATAAAAACGCAGAATTCAGAGTTAGCTTTTCCTCATCCATGCAAATCAGAATAGCACACTGAATCCTAAGGAAGACATGTAGTGTACAGTGGTCTATGAGAAAACTGGAACAAAAAATTCCAATGTATAAACAATAAAGGGGAAAAAAGAAAAATCTAACTTGACATTCTGCATTGTTCTGCGCATACTAGAGCTGATCAGTATAATGCAGCACAGGAACTAAGACTCTCTGCTGAAAAGCCAGAAGAGAAATACACTTAACCTTATTAGCTTTTCCTGACATTTCTTCCTCTTTTAGCACATAATGCATTACAGAGTCAACTCTGCCATGACTGTAAAAGTCCTTACTTGGAACACTGATTTCTCATCTTTATTCCACGGCTGTAATAGAAGTCTGAAAATCCTGTTCCAGACTGCTTTTTCTTGCTAAACAAGGAGAACCTTCTTTCCTCAGGGTGTCTGAGGCTCTTAGTCACCAGCAGAAGAAATGGAGTCTAAATGCACAGGCTATTGAGAAGGGAGTTATGGAACACTTGCTTCTGGCTCATGCCTTGCTTGATTCAAAAATCTACCCAAAAGCATTACTTCCTGAAAAAGTGCCCTTTAAATAAGTGTGTTCATGTAATATGTAAGCTTATATGCACTTTCTAGGGATAGAAATATACTGTTCTAGGAAAGTATTGACAACACCAACTCTAGCACACCAGCTGAAAGGCAGATTTCTGCTTTCCTTTACTGCTGTTCCTTAATAACTCATTTGAGATGTGGAAATAGAACTAGCAAGTTCCTTTGTTCACAGATTATGAAGTACTTGTTCATTCTCCCTACCTCTTAGAAATTCTGAGAAAGCACCTATGTGAACACAGCTGAACAACGAGTTTTCGCTTAATAAAACACTGTATCTACCAGTTACATGAAAAGACATTTAACCAGACATACAGTACCATACTTTGGCTACACAAAGAACTAAAATAGAGCTTAAAATCCAGTAACCTGTTCCATCTATCCCATTCCTTTCATCCATCAAACGCATGCATTTAAATGCAAATTTTAAAGCCATTACATATG